ATATCCCTACCATTTAACTAAATGATCTTGTACTTCGTTATTAAGCTGTTTAAAACTGATTATTATTATCTTAGTGTGTCTTTGTAAAGTATATCTGCTGATTAATGTTTGTAAGTGTTTGTGCCTATTTTATCTTAGGTTTAAATTACAACTTTTCAAATAGAAAATGTAGAGCATTTTTATTTTTAAAGAATTTTAGTTAATCAAATTAGAAACGCATTTATTATATACATACATATTTATGTATGTATTAGGCTTTTCAATTATTCGCGTTTTTGTCTTATTCGGTTTATTTGACATTACTATTTGAGGTTTTAAGTTAGTCGGTTATTTATCGGATAATTCAAAAATATTCGTTTAATCGAATAAAAGGAAACTTTATGTCTTTTGTTGCTTTTTACAATATTTTTCTCCCTATAATAATAATAAAGAGATTGAAGAAATCTAAAGTTTCTTAGTTTTGTTTTTGTATTTAATGTCATACTTTATCTCAATTAAAAGATTATTATTTTGTGGTCAAGCTATTTGACTGTTATGGGAGTAGAAAATGTCTAGAAATCTTTCTTGAATATATTTACACCCATTTCCCAGAAACGTGAGGGGTTGAACGTTCTTTAAACTCACTTACATGTTTGATTGATAAACCAACCCATCTAACAAATGACTAGTATCACTTAATCAAAAAACCATTTGACTATGAAATAACATATTCACAGACACACTAGCACATACATATAAATATACCTCTACATAATTATATACATACATTTGTATGTATATGTATGCATCTACATACATGTTTTTAGATGTATTTCTGCGTTCAGTAAATTCAATAAAATAACTATTTTATATATTCACATACATATGTATGTACATACATATATGGATGTATTTAAAGTTATATGGGTATGTGTAGTTATTACTACTACTTGCTTGTGTAGGCATTTGTGAATGTTTGTGTATTTGTCGTTATGGGCGTTTCCGGATCTTCTAATCAATAAACACTTTTTCAAGAATACATACATACTTATATGTTTATTTAAATGAAAAGTGGAAAAATGCTAAAACAATATAAAGCAGGCAACTGAAAAAGGAACAAAATGTTTCTACAGCTTTAGATCATTCTGTGTGGAAGACAAATACAAAATAAAAATATAACAATAACAATTTTGGAATTTGTAACATTTGTAGCCCCAAGAAAAACATGACAGAGCATAAATACAATGTAAAATAACAAAGAAAATGCCACGGTATACATATGAATGTATGTACATATACATATATTTGTACATTAGGATGATCAAAAAATATTTTTTTCCTATATTATTTACTTGAATAAAACCAATCCAATAATTTTTGTTTTTTTTTTTTACAAAATTTCTTTAACATTTTGTTAATTTCAAAATTAAAGAAATGTTTAAAAATCCAAAACAAAAATACATTTTATAAATATGTACATATGTAGGTGAAACATCGTGACTACCTCATTTATTCGATTCAAAACTTATTACGGATTCTAATTATTTTTTGTTTATTTTAAACTTTTTAAATTTTTAACAGGCAAGAAACTCATCATAATAAAAATATTCTTTTTGGAGTTTACGAGCAATATTTTGATATCATATCAATATTTCATATAGGTTTCAAAGGTAAATACAGAACCAATTGACAAGTTTAAAGTTTTGTCTCTGAACCAACTTTGAGAAAATTTTGTAATCAAATAAATTTGTATTTTAATACCATTTTTTTTTCTTTACAAATAGGGCAATTCTAATACATAGAAACGTTTAAAAGGAGTGTAATAATAAATGCTTAACAAAATCGTTATTACGTCTGTAAGTAGAATGTGAGTAGGTAATTCGAGAATGCTAGTGTTCATCTTCATAAGACATTAGAATGAATTATTCTAACAGAATGTAATAGAAACTGTCAGTGTAATAAAAGTGATAAAACTGAAGCATGACGTCACGCCTGCCTAATATAATGATACTAACAGTTATTTATCTACATATGTATGTATGTACTTATATTTACTACATACGACAGGCAGTCAAATAATAAGTAAGTCGATGTACAAAAACCGTACATTTATATTCATACTACGAGTTCTGACAAAACCGCAACTGGGTGTAATTTGTTGTCTCGAGGGCTTGCAGATCTTTTGTATGCCACTTGCTCCATAGTTCCTCGAGGCATGATTTCACATCAATCCAGCTTTTTCTTGTTTCTACAGCTTTTTTTTTTATTTTTTTATTTTTCGGTTTAAAGTGATTGTCATATCTGATGGTTTAGTCCCCTCCTAAGCAACAATACAATACAGATTGATTGACTATGGAAGAAAGTTGCCCTTAGATCTTTGAGGTTTGTGTGCGATTGTATGTATAACTTTTTTTCTTTCTCAAAAATACATACAGAAAAAACAGAATGATTCAAACGGAAGTATACACTAATGATTCAAAGGTTTCCGTATTGTTTGATTTTTTTCTTTGTCGTTTCTTTTTTTTCAATGCATTTCTTTACTACTGCATCAATACTATATAATATAAATTTGCTTTTGTTCTATATTCTTCTTTTCAATGGAAACCATAAATTGGAAACCATAAAAACGGGAGTATTTTTTAGAATAGTCATAAAATAATAATATAGGAAAAGAAATACAAGTCTTGTGCAAGGATACAGTTGATGATTGTAGTCAAATTCTATCAAATTGTTTTATTGACTTATTTTCACAGATACGAATGTTTTTTGGTGTTTTTTTTTTTTTTTTTTCAATTTTAAAAAAGTTTTGGAAATGCTTAACAATTTCCTTATTTAACTCTATACATTATTGTATTCCACCGATGTGAATGTGCGGGTGCATGAAGAGCAAAGTAAAGATAAATTTGTTCCTTGATTGCATGAAATTTGTCAGCAATTATTTTGAGTATTTGCTCAAAAGAAATTCCTGAGGATGTGTCTTAAATTCCTTTTGATTTAAATTTGTTATACGCAAACTAAATATGTATCAGTTAAAGTATCGATAAAATATATAAGAAGAACGTTTAAAATATTTAAGTAACATACACAAACACATTCATATCATACATATGTATGTATATACATTCTTACTTATCTATGTTTGTATTTGTATTTGTATAAATTTATACATTTGTAACCCTTTGAATGCTGGTATGTAACAGTTCATATAGGTCTTAAATTAAAATTCCTTTAAACTTTGTGTTTCTCCTTCTTCTTCTTTAGGTGATGCAGCGAGAATTTAATTAAATTTCGGTTAAACTATAAATACCAATGAAATGAAACGAAATGCAATAAAATATGTATTCGAACGAGTGAATGTATCTGAGGATAAAGAAATCAGGATATATACAAATACTCACACGCACATCTACATACATATGTATGCTTGATGCGAATTTTCGCATAGCGATGCAATTGTCAGCGATTTTCCTGCAATAAACCACAAAATACTGCCGTAAGTTATTATTGGAATGTTTGATTGCACTGAAAACCACAAAGATCAGTCGTAAATCAAATGATTTTAACCGAAAAGTATGACACATACAAACATCATTGTATAGTGTGAGTTTGAGATTGTTTAATTTGACGAGAATCTATCAATTTTGTTGGCTAATTAAACAAAGAAATTTTAATTGGCGACAATGCATATTTAAGTAATAGAGAGCAAATACAAATTAAGACTTTCGTTCAATTTACATGTTTAAATACGAAATTATTTGCATTCTATTATAAATTAAATCATTGTAAAATAATGATAATTTTTATTATAATCAGCTTATTTTAATTTAAAACATTAGATTATTTGAAGAATATTATTTTATATTTTTATTTGTATTATTTTTTTGTTTGTATATAATCTTGTTTTAATTTTATTTGAAGGAAGAAGAGTTTTATTTTTTGCTAAAAGTTTTATTATGCGTAAGTTATTGTTACCAATTCAAAAGTTTTTGATTCTTTATCTTTCTCTTCCTTTTGTAAAAATTTGCATGATGATGTTTTAACAAGTTTTTTAATTATCTTTTCTGGCCAACTAAAAACTCAGCAATAAAACCACTTGTTCAACATACATGTTTGTACATGGATGTACATACATATGTACATTAGGGTCATAACTTTTTTTGGACAGTAAAATACCACAGCTCTACCTTATAGCTAATACCGTCCTGATAAGAAAAGGCTATTTTTTAAATCAATTTGGTGAAAAACTTCCTGCAACGAAAGTTATTTCTAAGATGCTTTTGTTCATTTTTTTTTTTCGAAAATTAATTTAATAATTTTCATATTTTTTTTTATAAATTTCACAACAGAGTTTTAAAAAACAATGTTCTCTTTAAGACAATGTAATACAAATGCAAAAATGTTGGGCAAAAATATTTATTTCTCTCATTACAAAAAAAGTAATATTTTTTTTTTTTTTTTTTAATTTTTATTTTTATTATTATTCATTTATACATTAAATTCTTATTATTAGAAGTCTCAGCACCTCAAAACTTCAAACAAAACTTCATCGCCTTTGGTGTGGAAAAAAATGTTATATTTCTGAACATCTGTTCACGCCATACACGGTCTTGCTATGGCATTTTTGATATTCACAAAAATTGCAAAAAGTTATCACCCTAATGTACATATGTATTTATAAATACATAATTTTGTAAAAGCTTCTACAATAACGAGCAATATAAAGTTCGGATCGCAACATTGGCAGACAGAGATTGAAATGAATGAACTACTTAGTAGTACACATGGTAATTAGGAAGTTTCTCTAAATATGTTTATTTAATAAATTAAATAAATAAATTAATAAATGTTTTATTAATAAAGATAAATTGTTTGGAAGAAACCCTTGTATAACGTCAAAATGTTATAATTTTCACACTATATTTAAACAAATTTCATCCATAATACGGAATCAGAGATAAACATATGTATCTGTAAACGTAATAAACTACTTAATTAACCTTTTATTTCATTCCTCATTTCAGAAAAATCCTGACACTAAAATGATTGGACGAAGAAAATATTATCATTGGTTTAATTGGTTTGTAGCTGTTTGGATTATTATTTCTGATATCAGTTTAAATGGTAAGTATTTCATTTATTTCTTCCTATTATTTTAAACTTTATTGCGAAATAAAAAATCTACAAAATTGTATATTATTAATTTTTATTAAAAACATTTTAAAAATTAAACTTGTAAGCCAGAAAACAAAAATATGTATATGTAAAATAAAAGCCATACATTTTGAATTTTCCTTTTTGGATAAAAAGGCAACACTAGTATCCATAAAACAAAATGTCAGATTCAAAAAAAAAGTTAATAAAATTAGTGAATTTAAATTCAAAACAAACTGTAAAACTTACAAATACTTATCGCTCATTTACTACAAGACTGGCTTAATCCAAAAACATCCGTCATACTAAAATCATTCATATAGATTTATCAAATTGAAAACATGTCTATTATTTTCGATGAGAGATTGATTTTTTGCTGTAAACGTAAAAACTAAAACTCATGTTTTCACAAATATTAAATTAGTAAAAAATTAAAAATTAATTTAGATGAGAAATATATCAGATAGTAAAGAATTTGGTTTAATTTTACAGATCCCTTGATTTAATTAAAAAAAAAAAATAAAATGTCATTAAACATTTAAAGCCAATTTTCTTGAAACGAATTTTTTTGGGTAATGCCAGTATTGTAGTACATGAGCGATATGTATGTGTTTAAATTAATTTTTTTAAAGAAAACTTAAATTTTAACATTAAATGCAAAAATAAAATTAAGAACTTCATTATTTCATTTCCAAATTTTCGTCCCGAATGTAAAATCTTTCATCTAGCAATGTGGGCTAGGCACAACTACTTACATATTTATACATGTAAATAAAATTCATGCGACACGAAAAACCTTCAAGTATGTCCAGTTTAATTTATCAAAATTTAAAACGATAAAATAATCTATAAAATACTGATAAAATGTTCATTATAATTCAGTTATTAAATAATTAGACTTTTTTAAATAAATAATTACATTTTACCGCTCAAATTTATTATTTTTTTAATTTCAATTCGATTTAAAAAAGATAAACATTTTAAAATATAAAATAAAATGGGTTGCTTTCATGCAGTCTTTTACACATAAAATATGAGAATTATTTTACAGCCTTCTATGACTGTGGTTGACACCTCATTAAAAGTAAAAGAGAGCGTTCTATTGATTGCAAACCACCTAGTCATTGTAAAACAATTGCCGGAAAATACAAACAAAAATACATTCATATACTATAGTAGCCATGAGGAAACAGAGTATGTACATTTCGCTCATGTTCTTACAAAGTGCTGTAATTCAGAAAACATACATTCGAAGAAAATGACTTTGACGTTAACACACTTTTACAAATAAATAAATGAGAATATTTTGTAATTTTCAGAGAAAAACTAAATTTTGAGTTAGAACCAGGATGCACTAAGTAAGGTGAAATCGTCAAGGCAGCTGATTTTTATTTGTTTATTTAAAAAGTGCTTGGGTTATGTCAAAAGTAATTTATTTATTTTTATTCTAACATAAAAATTAAATTTGTGTTTTCTAACGAAAAAATTTCAAACCAAAAATTATGAATGAAAATGCTAATAAAAGGGTTCCAAATGAAGAAATTCAGATGAACCAGCAATAAGACGTTGTCCATCTGCGAATACAATTTAAATGTAACGACGGTTTTATAGGTAATATTGTGAAATACGCAAAAAATTTTCTTTCCAATATTTATTATTTTTCAATTTTAGAAATTTTATTTTGACAAAACCCATACTCAAAACAACAAAAAAATATTGTTTTTGTTGTGGTTGTTGCTCAAACGCTCTCACCTTACTTATTACATCATGGTTAGAACATTCTGAAAATAAATGAGCGATGTGTACTTATTAAAATACTTGACAACTTTTTGTGTGATATAAATTTTACATTAATTTATCAGATAAATTTATAACAACAATAAAAAATTCAACAGAAAAAGCTAAATTTATCATGACAAGCATTTCGAGTATTTTAAATGAATTGATAAACTAAACTAATTAATTGTTAAATTAAACAAATTACACAGGTCAACGAAATGAAGGTTTAAAACCATCTTGACTGATTTTAATGCATTTTTAGCTCCTAAAACCGAATCAGATATATATTTTTTCTATGACCCTCCATTTTCTCGCAAAATGGCATCGAATATTTTTTTCATATGTATATTACGCACATTTCATATAATTATAAAAAATATTTGCGTTTAAGGGTTCAATGTTATTACAAATACGTGTTTTTATATATTTCCAAAATATCATTTAATTCGGTTGAGTTTGACCTTCACAGTTTATGGGATAATATTTTACTAAGACTAGAATTTTATATTCTGTAAAGGTTTTATAAATGGGAGATATTGCCTAATTTCTTTACTATTTTCTTCCCTACTTTATTGTTCATCTCACATGGAGATTTTCGCAAAATTTTTAAATTTACTTAAGAAAATTGTTAAATGTTTAAAACTTTTGTTTTGAAACTGGGTTTTCCATTTATGACTATACCCCAAATACGGTTTACGCTATCTAATGAGAATAAAACTCACATTTAAGTTAATACGAATATATTTAATGTAATGACATGGTTTTATTAGAATGTTTTCCAATTTTTTCAAATTTTTAAAAATATTTCTCATTTGTGACACTAAATGATCGGATGATAACATTTACAAATTTTAACCGATACATTTAGTGCCAAAATTTTTGTAATAATCGTTTTCCTCTTTAGAGCCGCGGTGCCCACTAATTAACGTGGTCCTATCGTGCTAAATTTACCCACAATGCATTGCAATAACTTCAAGTATAAGTTTAGAGGCAGGGGCGGTCACTATTCGTATATTCTGTAAAATTACATAATTTTACATATGGACACAAGTATACAGTCAGTCCTTCTGAAAGATGAAAATGTGGAAAATTGGTGGGTGATACGACTTTTTTATTTCCATATTCGGAATCAGCATACCAAATAACATTGGGATTAGTGAAAATTATTTAAAAAGTTTTTTCATTGTTGGCCTGTGTTATTATTACACAATAATTATTGGTACATAAATGAATAACGTTCATAATTATATTAATCTAAATTTACATAAATAAATTACATACACATATGTGTGTACAAATGTATGAATGTATATTGCATGTGTGAGTAAGAATAATTATATAGCTATGTGTTAAAAAAATAAAAGAACTTTAATACTCAGGCCTAGAAGTATTTAGATTTTAAGCAAACACCCTTCAAAATGTAATGCCATCTATTGTGAATAATTAAGAATTGTTAAAAAAATGTCAAAAATAAAAGATAATAATAAGTCAAATTTGTTCATACTCGTTCTCAGATACCCAAATCTGTTATGGAAATTATAGTGAATGATTTTTTCTATATTAAGCAAATTCTATAATACTATTTTATTGCTTGTTACTATTATTTTCAATATTTAAGCAATATTTTAACACCTTCATTTTCTTCATTATATATATAAATAAAATGTTTAAAACTACAAAAATTCGATTAACAAAAATTAAAATTAATTTATGACAATTGAACGCTATTAACTTATTTAAATAATATAATATTATCAGCATCATTTTACCAGTAATATTCGTATGCGTCGATGAAAATCTTTGCCATACAATATATATACCACACCCACTACGCGGAATGATTTTTTTTATTTTTTTGCGTTAAAATCAATGAAATTTATTTTACAGCAATTCTTTATACATGAAACATTGTTTAATTGAAAATTCAATTATTGCCGTTGTCAGGGCAACTATTGTACATATTACAACCTTCTCTCTGATTCTCAGTATACATATGGATGAGTGTGGGTAAATTTGGATTCGCAACTCTGTAAAATGTATAAATTTATATCCGTGTATGTATATACTTATTGCGAATAATTCGTATGTAACAATTCAATTTCCTCGAATTCTTTCCATTTTATTTTACCCCATTACATGTTGGGTTACAGAACATAATTTTTTATGTTGATTATCATTTTTTTTAATTTTGGAAAAATTACAAAGAGCGTTAAATATGTATATAGTTAATAGTGTATACATACATACACTCACCAATGCGAAAACAAAGTACAATAAATTAATATTAGTAGAATTTTATTTTTTGTATTTAATTTTAATATCTATGTATGTATGTGTACATACAAATAGAAATTGCACACATATCGCTAATTTAACGGAATAACATTAAAATTCAAAATTATTAAATTATTAATAACACAGTGATACACCAAATAAATGCAAGGGTTCTCATATACCAATTCCATTCGTTATAGTCTATAGAGTACGAATATATTTTTAGTTTTCACTTATCACTTCGATAAGTAACTTCTTAAGCACAAAAAATGAGAAAAAGGGCCATTTTTGAAGTTTTAACTTTGAAAAGTTTGATAGTTTTTAACCAACTTTCAAATCTTATATTTTTTTATTGATACAAGTGTTTCTTTGTAACCCTGAAAAAATAAATCCAAAATTTATAGTCAAATATCTGATAATTTTTCATTTTCATCATGCTCTACGTTGGCCAAGGAGTAATATCGGCCTATGAAAAAAGCACATTGAGGATAGTTTCTAAAACTTGCCATTTCATAAAAATCCGTGAAAAACTATGTTTCCTAATAGCATGTTCATGTTCCTAGTGGTCTTTTTTTAAAAAAATGGCCGTAACTCAAATATTTGATAATAAGTTTTGGATTTCTTTCCATTAATATCATTAGTTAAAATTCTCCAACAAAAAGACAAAATAAACAAGGTTATTTTAAATGTGGCTTTTATGACAAACTTTTATGTTTTATATTCGTTAACTATTTCAGTTTTTGTTTTGTTTGAGCACAAACCAAGAAAATTTAAACAAATTTTATTTTTTCCAATTTGCTGTGAAATTTTAAAACATGGCAATTCCATTTTTTCATATTCACCAACCAGAGGGTGTACATTAGGGTTATAATTTTTTGGGCGGCAGAATACCATAGCACTGAATTATAGCCAATACTGTCCTGATAATATAAGGCTATTTTTTAAGTCAATTCGGTCAAAAAACTTCCCGCATCGAAAGCAATTTCTAAAATGCTTCCGTTCGTTATTTTTCAAAAATTATTTCAATAAAATTCTGTTACAAAATGTTTACCATTGCAAACCCACAAACTAACAATGCAAGTTAAATAAAAGCTTTTAATAAAAAAGAAAAAAATGAATTCTAAAACTTACGTTGACAGGGTCTATCGTTTTATAGTTAGAAGCTCTCACCACTGGCTACTGACCTCTTCTTGTTACAAAGCTCTAATTATTGTTAATTAGAGCTTTGTAACACGTAATTTTTGTAACAATTTGTGCATTTTTTGCTTCATTAAATGCAAACGGTTACTTTCAGCATTACATTTCGTCAGAAATGTGCCATACGGTTACTTTAAGCACTACATGTAAGTATCAAAGTGAAATTTTTTAAACATTTAATTTTCTGGAATTTATTTTCATAAACTTCATGCGAAATTTTATCAAATGTGAACCATTGATTACAATAGTGAAATGTAGTGAACGTAATACAACTAGTGAAAAGTGTCAATTGGCACTCTTCGTACTATAGGGTATTTAATTAAAAAATATTTATTTATACATACGAACTATCATACTTACATATACACTTATGTATGTGTAAGTACATACATTCATACATATGTATGTTCTAGATTTTCGCGCCCGGCGTTGCCCGAGGTCTCATCAACCCCGTTATTCCCTTTAGAAATTGTCTTGATATAAATTTACTTCGCAATTTTATTTCTTGTGTAAGCTACAAATCAAATTGAATTGAGTTGGTACGACATTCGCAAAAGGTACCAAAATAGCAAAAGGTACCAAAATAGTACCAAATCACTAATAATTACCCCTTTTATTTTCAATTAGCCCAAAACATTATTTTTCTCTGTTTTATGTTTCATTAAAATATTAACGTTTAAATGTTTGTTTATAGAAAATGTTGAACATACACACGATTTTATTTCTGAAACTTTAAAAAGCTAAATCATAAATATTTTCGCTCTTGAACAAACAATAATAAGTATTTAAGACAAAAAAACAGCCCCAGTTTTTATACCTTTTCCCCAATTTTTATCCCCTTCCGGTCCGATTTTCAAAATTCGAAGAAAATCGGTCCAGCCGTTTAGCGATGTCTGCGGAACAAACAAACAGACTTACAGAGAGATTTATAATACATATATATTAATATATTAAGATTTAACAATTATTAAATACCCAGCAAAAAGACTGTAATGACTTATACCTACTCAACAACTTACTTTTCAATGACTACTACATACTGTCTGCATTACATAGAAACACAAACGATAAAAACTATTCTTTTGTGAAAACTAATAGTAGACGCAGTGGATGAATCCTCGTTGACAATTTTTTTGTCAAAAACAAAACAACTTACTTAATTTAGTATTTTGACCCCTTACTTTTCAATGTAAATTTTTGCTGGGTAAATCCACTATAAACAGACACGCTGCATTCGTTAAATAAAAAGTTAACTCTTCACTAAGTATACACAAGTATGTAATAAGAAAAATTAACCAATGTAGTATATCAGTATTTTTTTAACTTCGTAATCGGAGTTTTAAAAAAGTCTATAAATATGTATATAAATAAAATATGACAGAACATTTTTAATATACATACTTACATATGTATGTTTATTAAATATATACGGACTAAAGCATGATCAAATATTTTTTTATATAGACTAAAGTCATATGAATATTTTTCTATTATGAATTGCAGCTTTTTTTAATTTTTTGATAATTTACTAATAATTATTTTAATGATATTTTTCTTGTCACTAATCCATTATTTTCTCTTTTTATCCATCTCACCTTTTCTGCTGAACAACGAACATTCACAGCTGATTGTCTAAAAGACTTGAAAATTTTCGTGCCAGATGCCGTAATTATGGGAAACGCTGCAACATTGTCATGTCAGTATGATCTGGAACAGGTAAGTGAAATACAACAAGCCATTAAGTAAAAAAAAGAAAATAATAAAGAAGAAAGGCAAAGAGTCCTGACGCTAAAACAAGAATTTATTTATTTTTTTCAATGAACTTCATTAAATATTTTACTTGCATAAAAGGCTGTAGACAAACACTAAATAAAAAAAAGAAAACATTTTGAACGATGTTGGCCAAAAGCCCAGACTAATGGCAAAAACATTTCTAACTAACCTTCCTTCCTATCTGACGTCCAACCATTCATGGGACACATTGTTCAGAATTATACTGCAAGAATGTATGAATATCCTTGCAGAAAGTTCTGTTGGCTCGGTGTCTTTGGTAAAAGATATCGTTGTTACACATCTTAGTATAAAAAGTCCTAATTAAATTAATTGCAAGTGAAATTGTTTCTAAAACTGATGTTGTTCATCTTCATTTTTCTTGCATTTTTTCACATTTCTTGTTATTGCTTTTTGTCCTTTATTAAAGTACTGTGTATGTGTTTATTTTTCCATTTCAGGCGGCCTTGTATTCAGTGCGTTGGTATTTTGGTACGGAGGAATTCTATCGTTACGTGCCAAAGGAGTCACCGCCTACACTAGTGTTTCCCGTGTCTGGAATTAATGTTGATGTAAGTTATAAACTTGTGTACTTTGTGTTTTTGCCTTATTTCCTTGCGTTGACCCTTTTCGCTTACATACAGGAGTTGGTCGGATAATCATGAACGTCGAATCGTAAAATATATGTATATGTATGTACAATGTACATATGTATGTGCATTTCGAACAGCAAATATAGAATATGTATGTACTTTATATCTATATGTACTTTGAATAGTTACCGAGCAAGTTAATCCGATCCCTCCTCCCTGTATTCAGTTATTTGCATAATACCTACAAGTACATATTCCAAAAATGTTTGTTCTTTTTCATTTGGTTATACTCGTTGTGTTTGTTGCTAAAACTAAACAACATTTTAAAACACAAAATTTAGTTTTTGTATGTTTTTGCTAAAATAAGAGACAGTGTTTGTGAAAGGACGCACATAAATCATGCACACGCGCGGGTACTCCAAGTTCAACCCCGTTACATTTTGTTTGCAATCAGCTTGTGAATGAAAATGTTCACAAAAGTTGTATTGTAAGAATGACGGAATATTAAATTTTAGGATCATTCTAATTAACGTACATGTTTTTTCAATTATGTGTTCTTCCTTGGAATCAACTTTAAATGGAGTTAGGTCTGTATTTTCACCGATATTTTCAAGATTTAAAATATCTTGAATTTTATCTTGTCACATACATATTTTGACCAAATTGGACCTTATATTGAAGGTTTTCGTATATATATATTTTTTCTTTTACTTGATTGTGAACGGATTTTAATATATTCCATAATCTGTATCTAATTATAATATAATTTTGTTTTAAATTTCGTCATAACTTAAAATAGAGTCTCGACAAGATTTTCCATTATTTTTACAATTTTTTTCAGTTTTTAAAACCTTTCTTCCAGTATTTGTATCTAAAGGGAATGTAGAGACTATGTACCAAAAGAATTGGCAACTTTAAAAAGAATGTGTAAATACCTTTTAAAGACAAAAAATTCATGTAAATAATTTAGAAAGTTTAGATGTAAGACTTTTTTGATTTCAATCTATTTCCATAGAACTTTTTGTAATTTGTTTTAACAAATTTTTTTGAACGTTTGTCGTTTCGTTTTATAAAATGGGGCCCTTAAATTTTGAATATGTCTAAATATAAGAATATATAATCACAAGTATTTAGATTTAAAAGCTACGAGCAAAGTTAAAATTTAACAAACCAAAAATACGATTTTGTTCGATGTACTGATAGAAGGAATCATATGAGTTGTGGTAAATTTGTGTGCCATTACCCACTGGTGACTTATATGATGGTAAATCGTTATGATGTACCCGAAATGGAGTGGATATAGAAGTCTAAAACATCTAGTGATAGTAATATTTTTTAATTTTCTACTTTAACATCGGTGGCACATGTTTCAAATCTAATTCGCAAGTAACTTTTTAAGTAACTTTTTCAATTAGTATTGGTTTTTTGAAAAAGTACTGCACAAACCTATTTTTTTACTGCACAAACCTATTTTTTTACCCCCCCTAAATTAGGTTCATAGGTTACATACAAAACATGGAATTTTCCCAACATATCAATTTTATGATTATTTTCTTGAAATTTTAATTACTAGACATAGTGACTTATTTTAACTTAATCACGGACTTATTATGCTTGTCGAACCGACAATGTCGGTATTGTCACAAGCAATTAGATTAGAAAATATGTATGTAATTCTCATGTAATACGTTCTTTGCAGAAAATTTCGTTTCAAAGATTTGAAGGTTGAACATAGTTTCTAGTATAAATACTATACCAGTTAAATTAAAAATGAAAAAATATAATTGTGTTGCATTTGTGTGTGTTTATTCATACAGTTTTAGTAATTAAATATTAGCATTTGTCATTTATATGGCTAATGGCCATGCTAATGTATGGCATATACTTTATATTTCAGACAAGAGAATAATATTTTTTGTTTATTTTTTTTTCATTGAATTTTGCATAATAAACAATTCTAAATTTGTATGAAAATGATTTTATAACTCAAATGTATTTATGCTGCAATCAACGTTGCACAACCACAATGTGGCCAAATGCATGTGATTGGTTTGTTTGCTTGAGCCTGCCAAATACCCGGTCCGCACCTGATCAATACCAGAGACTGTTATTGAAAAGACAAATAATAATATACCATTAGTGGTGTTCAAAATATCTATTTTATTTGGATGGGTCTATCTTATTTATTAGTGACTAAAACATACTTGTGCCGGAAATCGACTGCAAAGTAAAAATTAAAATAATAGGACCTTTTTTTGATTTCTTCAAAAATTATTACATTAAAATAATTTTTTTTTTCGATTAATTGTATCTTCTAGGAAAATTTCTTTTTCTCATAAAATATAAAATAGTTTCGATTATATGGTGTAGAAAATTGTTGTTTGACCTTCGACATTAAAGTTTTATACCTCGTTTGATAGACAGTATTCTCATCGATATCCGGCACGGTTTCCCGTTATAGGATTGTACCAGTTTTGTACTAATAAACAATATGAGACCTATCTAAGCAAAATTCATGTTTTTTTGGCTGCCTCTAATGTACATACATACATATGTATATATGTACATACATACAGGTCGCAATTTTCAATATAATTTCATGAAATTAGGCACATATGTTTCTTTTCACCCAAGGACGAAGTTGATTGAAAATGGTTTAAATCGGCTATTATTAACCAAGCCCTTGTACAACCGTACCTCCCGAATATGTCTTTGTAGCTTTTTATTATGTTATATGTTCTACTGCCTCTACAAAAATCGGAACCCCATTTTTATAAGCAGAAATGATTCTTCCGATTTTCGTAATAATAGGGGCTTACTTGACCCTGCCTCTTAAAGACTTTCATTATGATGAAATTCTGCATATCTAACTCCTATATGAACATAAATCCCTCCACCAAATTTTGATAGGATCGGTCCATAATTTTTTTATATTTTTATAAAATTTAGCAAAACTGTTTAATTTTTCACGGATTTTTATAAAACATGACATTTAGTTTTTATGCACGTGATTTTGTTATAAATTTAAAAAAATAATGCTGAATAAAATGATGTTTCTTGTGTTTAGATAGGGGGTAGAATGCGACTTTTGTATTGTAAATTAATTAAAAAAAATGTTTTCGACCATATGCCTAGCAAATTAATTGTTTAATAATAACTATACAGAAGAAGGATCCGAGATATCAGAAGTCGCGCATAGTCGAATTAAAAAATTGTACAAGACTGAAATGTATCTACAGTAAAGCCTGACTGACTCAACTTATTTTTCGACCCACCCTAATGTGCATATATGTATGTATTTATATTCAGTAGAGAATTAACTATTCTTTCTTTAATTTTGATTTATGTGAAAACTACAATAAGAAGATTATTCTTACACTACATACTTACATAATAAATGTACATATACATATATAGAAATATAATAATATTTATTTAGCAATGTCACACTTTTATTACAAAAATTTATTCCAAGATAGAATTGCTCCTAACTTTGATATACATACATATGTTGCATTTTGGATTCCCTTAAAAAAATGTCCTATATATTTTGCACTCTTGAGTATTTGGAACACTAGCATCGCTAAATTATGTTTTTTCTTAAATATGGGCTAATTGTCATTAGGACCATACAACATGGAATTAAGAAATTCAAAATTTTGTATAAAATTTATATTACGTTCGCGAATATATTAAAATGTATTTTTTTAAACATATGTACATTAGGGTGGCCCCGAGTTAATGTTCCCAACTAAAATGAAAGTTTAATTGATTTTGGTGAGCTGGATCAAAGGATAAAAAGGTCCTTTTTTTAGGTTTTTATGTTTTTTTTTATATTTCTCCAAAGGAATAATATGAAATTTTGGTATCATATCCTTGAGAAATGGCATATCGAAATTTTTGAATTTTTGGGAAAATTTTCAGATTTTTTACATTTTAACACAGATGAATTTAATATAATTCGTTGAAATTAATACATAATAATCCTTAATAAAATTTACAGAAACGGGTTTTTCCGTTTGTCAAAATTCTATCTAGATCGAATTTTATTTGAATTTATCGAAGCCGAAAAAATGACTTTTCATTTCGAAATAAAAACAAAACAAATTATAATTTTTAAATTAGTGGCATTTAATAAACAAATTTATACTTTTGCAGTTGTAATTTTGTATCTTTAATGTTTAAATTTGAAGGAAATTAACATTACTGTCGTTATTTCAAAATAAAATGACGGGATTTGTTCGAAAATTCGAATATCAAAAACGAGTAAGCTCAGTGGAAACACTTTGAAGAGGTTAAAGCAAACCTAGTAGATTTCAAGCCAGTGGAAACATAGTATAAACAACAACATACAAACCGTTATCAACAAAGCAAGTGTAACAAAAAAGTAGATTGTTAGGATATATTGTGTTAATATTTTAGTTAAACTAAAAAATTTGATTTATAATAGAATGAAATTATAAAGTAGTATATACCAATGTAAAGCTAATAACATTGCGCTTATACTTATATACATATAAAGTACGTTAAATAAATATAGCTGGCACAATACGGGGGAGAAAATAGGATTTAAAATTTTAAAATAAAATACAAAACACATCGAATTTCGAAAAGCTGAAAAAACTGTTGCGGTGAAATAATATGAGGTTTATAATGTAATAATTTGAATTAATTACATTAAGTAATTCTATGTAAACATTTTAAAAATCTAAAAATTTTCCGAAAAATTACAGCATTTGTAATAATTTAGGAGTCGTATATAAAATTCTGTTATGTCATTGAAATCCTCTCTCAAAGACCTTTCATATATTTGCCACAATTATGAAAAAACAGAAAAACCTTAAAAAAGGACGTTTTTATCCTTTGACAATTGGTATCTAAAAATGAACTAAGTTTTCATTTCCGGTGGGAACATCAGCAACTTTAATTTTTGGGCCACCCTAATGTACATATATTCTCGTATGTATTTTTGTATATGT